ATTTCTTTTTTTTTTTTTTTTTTTTTTTAAGGCTGAATAATATCCCATTGTGTGAGTTTTTAGTTCATCCATTCTCCCCTTGATGGACACTTGGGTTGCAACTACTGCTTTTTGGGTGCCTGTTGGGCCAGGTGGTTCTGTTCGCAACAGTGTGTGGCGTTCTTTCCCATCTTTTCAGCTGAGCGAGCCGAGGCTCTGGGAGCCTCACTCACTCGCCTGAGATCAGGTACGTGACTGGGTCAGGATGTTGACCTCGCCTTGTTTGACTTCACAGCCCACACACCTCCTCTTAAGCCCCACTTTGGAGGGAGTTTGGACTTTCTTTGTGTGCTCTGTGCATCGAAGCAGAGAGGGGAGGAGGAAACCAGGATAAGCTCAAGGTCTTGATGGAAGGAGGGACCTCAGGGGAAAGACGCTTACTTAATTGCAGCCCTAGTAGAGCAAGGATTTTCATTTCAAAGGTTGTTACAGTCTTTGTGGAAAAATCGGTACCTTTATTGGTCTGTGGTAGCTGTTGGTGGATGGTTTTGTTCTTAGAACAAAGCCTCTTGGCAGGGAAATGTTCGATATTCAAATTAGTGATCTGGCCACTAAAAGGCTCCCAGGAAGCGGTTGGGGGAATCCAGCAACTGGGGCTGGTCCGGATGGGCACCAAGCTGGGTCTTAAGGAGAAACCATGGTGGGAGGGGGGCGCCGTCCCGCCAGCCCGTCTGCTCCCTCTTGGTGAGGAAACGGACTGGCCAAGTCCCTTCCTATCTATGGCCCTCAGTTTCCTCATCAGAAAAAGGATTGGTCTAGTTGGATGGTTTTCACATGGATGATAGCTTTAAATGTAAGCTGAATTCAAGCCAAGGAATAAAACATAACATAGAGGAACTCTGTGACTCAGGGGTGGGCCCTGGGAGCCCCTCCTTCCCGTCCCTCCTCCCACCCCACCCCGTCTTCCCCACTGCTCTCCAGCCTGGAGGCCGTGTCCAGGAACACTCAGGGGTCCAGACGCCCGCCCCCAGCCCTTCCACGTGTTGCTCAAGTTTGCTGAGCACCTCAAGGTGCGGCTTAGACAGACTCCAGGTTAAGATCCAGCTCCTTGAGCTCTTTGAACTCTTGGCCAACGTTTACTCTCCTGTCCTGTGAATTTGCCGAGTCTGGTGGAAACTCAGATCAAAAGCTGTGTTTTTCTTCTCAGAGAAGGGATCATGGCCTTTGCATTTGTGTAGTAGGAAAGGGAAGAGGAGGCAGCTCTGGGCAGCAAAGACAAATAGAATCAGCTGGGTATTTTCAGCACCACCTGCTCCATTTTTTAAATCTTATGATGCAGACGCACAGGCTCAGCGGCCATGGCTCACGGGCCCAGCCACTCCGGGGCATGTGGGATCTTCCCAGACCGGGGCACGAACCCGTGCCCCCTGCATCGGCAGGCGGATTCTTAACCGCTGCACCACCAGGGAAGCCCCAAGGTTGGTTTCTTATACTTCAAGTCCTTCATGAGGTCCATGTTGACTCTTAGGAAGTCTTTCTCCTTAAACAGCCCCAGAGTCTTCTGAGACCAAGCTCCAGGATTCATGGAATTCCAAAGGCTTTGTTCTAGGAGTTTTTCCTTAGAACCTAGAGCTGTCTTCAGTTGCCTGCCCAGGTGATAGCTCTGGGGTAATAGTAGAGCAGACGCGTTCATTTTTTTTTTAACTTTTTATTTTATATTAGCGTATAGCCGATTAACAATGTTGGGATAGTTTCAGGTGCACAGCAAAGCAACTCAGCCATACATTTACGTGTATCTGTTCTCCCCCGAACTCCCCTCCCATCCAGGCTGCCACATAACACTGAGCAGAGTTCTGGAGGCTTACTGCTCCCCTCCACCTCAAGCTGGAGAATTACCTTTGCGACAAAAAAATTAATCCATCGATCTAAGACAGAAATGGAAAATTTTGTTCAAGCCGAATTGAGGGCTATAACCCGGGGACAGCCCCTCAGAAAGTTCTGAGAGCTGTTCTGCCTGTTCGAGGTCAAAACGCAGTTACATGTTTTGAGACAGAGGGCTGTGTATTAAATGATGTATTATCGACAGTTTACACAATCTAGCAAGTAGTGGGCCATGGCTCATCGTGGCCCCTTACGACATCAGGAAGGAATGTTATCTTTTAAGGAGTTGTCTTGTTGATGCTGGGAGAATATTGCTCTTTATGGTTGAGCAGGTATTTCTCCTGATGGGGGAGGTTTGGTCGATGCATAATGCAGGTACGCAGTGCGCAGTGGAGGGGAGAAAGGAGGCCAAAGGGCAGAGAAAATTTTTTTATGTTTAAATTTTTCTTGTCCTGCCATAAAATATGGATTTTATTTCACACCCTCTTTGATGAATGTGAGCTTGCAATGGAGGGCAAGAAAATAAAAGCCACAATCCACGTGATCATTTAGAAGTCACCCCCACTGAAGTCTTTATCTCACATTCTTTCCTTTTTTCCCCCTCTCTTTTTCCCAACCTTCTAGCCTGTGTTGGGTACCTGCTATTACCGTGCTATCACAGTGGGAATAAAAATATGAGTAAGATACAGTGTATGTCCCTAAGAAATTCACAGGCTTGTGAGGGGACCAGATCCAAAAATAGACAGTTCTCATGCAACTAGATAACTTTAACGATGGAGATAATAATAATAACAATAATCACCATTTATTGGCCTCCCTCCTATGTATCTACCAGGCATGGTCAGAAACAGGCGTTATCTCCTATCATCCTTACAAAACTCCCATTTTATAGATGAGGAAACTGAGGCTCTGGAAGATTAAGTTGCCCAGTTAATAAGTAGTAGTAGTGGGGCTTGGAGCCTTGTTTGTTGGATTCCAAAGTTCATCCTTTAATTCCCATGATCAGGAGCACAAAGGGAGGAACCCTATCCAGCTGGACTGGTGGGAGGCTTGTCATTGGTCTGTGGGACTTAAAAATAGGGTATCACCTTTTATGAATTACAGAGCGTCCGATGGTATCGGCAGGGCACACAACCAGAGTACAAATGCTCTTATCTTCTCCCCTTTCTGGCCCTCACCTTTGTCCTCTTCATCCCTGTTGATCTGACATGCTTTCACGTGGGTAGAGACTTATTTACCTTTGGGCTCTCTTTGATTTTTTATTGACCCTTTTGACATTCATTTGCTCTTTTAAGTACTATTTGAGCTCTGCAGCCAGTCCAGACCTCTGGACTCGTGGAGACTCCTCCACACACTGAGACACATCACAAGCTCATGAACAGCAGCTAGGGACTGCTCTCAATAAATAAGAATGATGACCCGTGGCAACATGCAGGGCGTTTATTGAGCGCGTAAAATGTACTGCCTTCCATGGCTGTTTCTCGCCTCGACATTCGTCACGTAACTGAAGGCCACGACTGATTCTCCGTCATAATGGAATCTTACACGTGTGAGGGGATTGTAATTAACATGCCAGCATTGCTTTCTTCAGAAAATCTCGAACTGCAGATCCAGCACTGCTTGGTGATAAATGTTTCCTTGCCTACAGTGCTGCTGTCTCGTAGATCCAGAGCTCTCATGACGTGCCATATGCAGAACAAATGAGTGCAGGGTAGCAGGACCTCTTAAAGTGTGCAGGGTCTGAGGGCCGCTGGCCACCAGAACACTTCGCTGACCTGGCTTACAGGACCCTTCTCTGCAGGAACATTCCTCGGAGGAAAGGAACAAACATACATTCAGCCTCTGCTCCATCCAGGACCAGTCACAGATGCCCTGGGGAAGAAGATGAGTAGGAGCTTGCCTGCTCTCAGGGTGGACCATGGAGAGGACATGAAAGGCTCTGTGAGATCCAGGAAGAGCTGAGCTGTTTTACTGTGATGGGGGAGGGGAGGGCTTCATGGAGAAGGCAGTGTTTGGCACAGGTGTTGAAGGCTTCTTGAAGGCCAAGCTGAGGGAAGTAGGTGCTCTTGGTGGAAGTTACAATGCGTTAAACCACAGAGCTGAGAAAGTAGGGTGCCCCTTCAGAAAACATCCTGCAACTCAGTTTAGCTGGTTCAGGTGAGCAGTTGGAAAGGAGGAGGAGAAAGTAGGCCAGCACTGTGCTCTAGACTGAGTGTTTGTGAGCCCCCCAAATTCGTGTGTTGAAATCCTAACCCAGATGTGATGGTATTAGGAGGTGGGCCCTCGAGGAGATGATTAGTTCTTGAGGGTGGAGCCCTCATGAATGGGATTAGTGCCCTTTAGAAGAAACTCCAGAGAGCTCTCTTATGCTTTCCTCCATGTGAGGACACAGTGAGAAGGTGACTATCTATGAACCAAGAAACAAACTGTCGCTGGATACTGAATCTGCTAATGCCTTGATCTTGGGCTGCCCAGACTACAGAACTATGAGAAATAAATGTCTGAGTTTAGAAGCCACCTGATCAATGGTATTGTGTTATAGCAGCCAGAATGGACCACCATACACTGCCATACTCTTACTATTATAGGCTCCCCAGCCTATAATAATAAAGTGATTATTATAAGTAATACATTCCCACTGTAGGGCTTTAGATAAACAGAAAAGAAAGCAGCAACCATAAACCCACCTCCCTGGTGTGGGGCGGGGTGGAGGGGACCACTGCGAGCATCTCATATTTTATTCAAACCTTTTTTTTTTAAAAAAAAACACGTGTTTCAATATGAAAATTCAAATTCATGCACTTCTAATGAAACTTGGGCTGGATGGGACAGAGGTTGGGAGCTTCTGGCTTTGGGTCAGATCAGTTTCCAAGATCTCTGCTGAGTCCTTCATTTTGCTTTCTTGGTTGTTCTAGGGAGTGGCAGAGGTTGAACTGGAGCAGAACCTGAATCGGACTTTCAGAAGCTTCTTCAGAGCAAGTGCTGAGGTGAGGGGTGCGGGAAGCAGGGTGGGGGTAAGCAGGAAGGGGAAGCTTCAGGGGTGCAGATCCCCAGATGGCTTCCCTGGGAGGATGGGGGGATAGGGGATGTCAGGGTCTGGGAATAAGCAACTTGCCTTCTTTTCTTTGACTTCTGTAGTTAGGGCTCCACTGGTCCCTCCATTAATGAGGAAAGGTCCTGTCCTCTCTGTCACACACCAGTAGGGCTATGAAACGCAGAGCAAAAAGGATTATAATGGTGACAGTTTAGAAATTCTGCTGTTATTGCCATTGCCATTTTCATATGGATAATTGCTTATCAAAGTGCAGAATTAATTGATGCTTCTAACCCTTTTCTTGAACAACCAGAGGAGCCTAGAATGCTTTAACGCGGTAACCCCACCCTCCTATCTTACGTGTTAGGAGTCACTGTTGCTGTTGCTGTATCTGGTCAGTGCCTACTTAGCTGGCCTGATTTTTGCCAGTTTCTTTGCTGACCACTTCTGGCACCTCACTCTTTTATACTAAGTTCAAATTTCTTTCTTACTGAAGTACCTTCTTTTGTAGTTTTCTCAGTAAGAGTCTGTTAGCAGTAAACTCATAATTTTTTGGCCTGAAAATATCTTTATTTTGCTTTCAATCCCAAAGAACAGTTTAACTGAGTATAGCATTCTAGGTTGACAATTATTTTCTTCTAGAAGCTTCTGTCATTGCTTGTAAGAAATTGGTCTCAGGTCTACCTTCTGGTGTATTATTTGTCTTTTAGTCATGTCTGATCTGCAGTTCAGCCCATCTGTAATTTTGAAAGTTGCATTTGGTTCTTTTTCAAAGCATTCTGATCTCTTTCAATAGAGTCTTGTTCTGTTCTTGTTGTTCAGTTCCTTCTTTTGTCTTTAATCATTTTAAGCATACGCATTTTTCATCCTCTCTCTGTGCAAGTTCTATTATTTGGTATTCCTGGAGAGTCTTGTTTTACTGTTTGCTATGTTTGCTGTCTCCTGCAATGGGGCTTTAGTGTATATGTGCAGGGGGTGGGGCAGGGTAGGGAGAGAGCTCTGTAATTTGGGTTTGTGAGCTCATCTTTAGCAGAGCTTACTCTGCTCCAACCTGCTTCAGCTGAGATGGAGGAAATGGCCCTCCTGAGTGGTTTAGCTTTTGCTTCTCCTGCCAGGCCACCAGCCCAAGCTCACTTTAGCTGTTGTCGTTTACTTCACTTAGTGGGGGTTTCCAGATCTCGTAGTGTGGATTCAAACAGAATCACGTGTGAAGGCAGGCTTGTGGCTATGAATTCCTAGGGGAGCTTTTTTTGGTTTCCTCTTAGTACCAAACTGAATGGACCAACTCCTTTGACATCTCTCTGTCATGGTGGGTGGGTTCTTTCTAGTCCACCCTTTAACTGAGGACCCCAGATTGACTGGATTCACCGTGGAGGGGTGGGGAGGATCTCACTTTTACCTTCGCATCTGACCTAAGGTCTCATCTCTTGTTCCCACTGGTTGATACACCCAAGTCCTTACATTCCCAAGACCCGCAAGCACCCAGGAGCAGTCTTGGCCTTGGAGCTTGGTTGTGAGCTGCCTCTGCTCTGACCACTCAGGACCCGCCTAGCTCTCTTGGGCATTTAGCATGTTTGTATAGTCTGCTGGCACTTGTAGGGTTTTTAGATGCCTCGTTCCTTACATATTTCCTTTGCTTGAACCATGACATCCCTTCTAACTTTTCTCCCTCCAGACTTTTCTCACCACGAACAGAGTCTGTGAAATGGGTAAGAGACATTCTCAGGAGGGAATGGAGACAGGAGGGCCATGACGGGAGCCAGCCGAACGTTAAATGAGTGTTTCTCCATCTGCCAGCTGTGGGCAGAGGCAGCCACCTGCCAGCCCTGAACTAGTTAAGCCCTGACTTGCTTAACGTAGATCCCTGCTGGTGAATCGCACTCACCCTAACCCTGGGCTGACCACACAGCCTTGGCTTCCTCTCCCCCATGAAGTTTTGGATTCAAGATCTTAAACAGTAAGAGCCTGGAGGACTCTCAGAGCTCTTCAGGGCAGATCCACCCTCTACTGATTAGGACAGAGACCCAGGAGAGGAGCTGACCTCTGCAGGGTCACCTGGTGCAGGCAGAGTGGAAATCAGGCCAGACCCCCAGCCAGGTCTCCTCTGTCTTAGTGCCCTGGCCTCCCCTCCGTCAGGCTCAGTTCCATCCCGTGAAGACAGCCCCTGTTCTCCCTCCCAGTCTGGATATAAGTGAGGAGCCAGAGCCGGGAGCAGACTGGCGCTCATCCCCTTGACTCCTGGATCCGGCACTGTTCCCACAGAACCTTGCTTGACCCCAAGCCTGTGACTTTGCCATCATTCCCTTGTATTTTTATTAATAATGATGATTGCTATCACTTGTTTGAGCACCTACTGTGTGCATCAGACACTGGGTTAGACCACTTTAGTAATATTGTTTATATTTCTCGTGACATCCGTAAAAACTCTCACTATTATCTCTATTCTACAGATGAGGAAAATGGGCCTCAGAAGAGTTACAGAATTTGTCCAGAGTGGCCAGGCTGGAGTTAAACTCCTCCAAGCCTAAAGACCACACTCCTCTCACTGGTCAGGAACACCTCTCCCTTCCCTCCTTCCACCTCTTTACTTATTCACGTAGTCAATCGTTCAGTCCTTCATTCCTCAAAAGTTTTGAGCGCACACTTGGTGTGAGGCAGGGGCAGGTATCCAAAAGCACGAGTTAGAGTCATTGCCCTCCGGGAGCTCAAGTCTCCTGGGGAGACAGAGAACAGTAATAAAAGAAGGAGGGGTGGTGAAGGGTCTCAGGTGTTGGAACTTGGACACCTGACCCAGAGGGTGGGAGAGGAAACAAGTGGCTTTTTGTAGGAGGACTCTTTGTGAATACGCCAGGGGAGCCCAGCCTCAGCAAGATGGTCACCGAGGAGGACATCCAGTTCTATGTTCAGCAGTTCAAGAAGTCTGGTTTCAGGTAAAGAGAACAGCACCCCAGGAGAACACAGGAGAGAGAAGGTGGGCAGACAGGGGCTCTTCTGCTCTCACAGTGCAGGGTGAGGCCCAGTGCCAGCTCAGTCCCAGTGAAAGCCTGGCCAGCCTCCGCTTGAATGCCTCCAGTGCCGGGAGGCTCACTAACTGACGATGCTCAGCCTGCTCTAGTTTGGAGAGTTCAGCTCGTTCTCCCTTATGCTTAGGGGCCCCTTCAGAGCAGATGTTTTTAACTTTTTTTCAGTGGTGACCTCTGTGAGGATCAGACGACAGCTGTGAGTTCTTACTTCAGAAAAACAAAAAAACCCCACGTAACCTCAAAAACTGCATACATATTCGGTGGGGGGACGGTGGTTATAGGCTCAGCTTTACTGAGCTCTAACTCACATACCATAGAATTCACCCTCTCAGAGTGTACAGTTCAATGGTTTTTAGTCATTTCATGGAGCTGCGCCGTCACGACACATTTTATGGGTCACCACGATCCATTTTAAAGTGTTTTCATCTCCCAGAAAGCAGCTCTGTTCCCTTTCGCGGTCACCCCCACTTCCCCTGGGCCCCCAGATCTGATCACTCACCCATCTGCTCTCCGTCCCCCTGGAGCTGCCATTCCAGATGTTTCACTCAAACGGAGTTGTACGCTGTGTGGTCCTTCGTGTGTAGCTCCTTTCACTCTGGTTTGCCCACGTTGTAGTCTCTGCCAGACTTCGCTCCTTTTTCTCAGGTCTGTTTTTATGCTGAGTTTCAGGGCCCTGCCCTGAAATCACTGAGAATCCCTCTTAACATCCCCTTTTCTGCGTGTCCCTTCACGTATTTGGATATTGCAAATCTTCAAAGCTCGTGAGTCCTTCAGGGGCGCTGCAGGTCACCGCATTTCCATCTTCCTCCTCTCTTCTCACGCTCCCATCCCTCACTCAGACCCAGGGGCGCAGAAGGAGCCCAACAGCAGGACCACCTTCGTCAGCCCAGCCCACAAGTTCACGGTGTGGTGACCTTGGCCATGAACACCCGTGGTGGCCTTTAGACCCCAGTGTCTCCAGTATCACAATTTCAACCTTAAGCATCTCCTTTCTTCCCCCCCACCACCCGAAGTGGGGGACAATTTAAGAGTCTCAGACTGGGGGACAGAGGTTCTCTGGAAGGGAACATATAGGCAATCCGATCCGACCCCTCCTTGCACAGGAGGGAAAATCAGAAGTCCCCAAAGGGCACGTGACTTGTCCAAGGTCTTTCCGGGCCCTCCCTTTCACCGGAAGCCTCAAGGGCCGGACAGCACCAACCCATTCCATACCTGAGGATTGGGACAGTGCTCCAGGTACAGCCCTGGAGCCACCCTACCTGTCCGGAGGAGACACCTCGGCATCACTTCCCGATGTCACATTAGGAGGAAGCACCTCCCGGTGGCCCTTTTCTGTGGGCTTCCTGGGACAGGGGAGTGGCCCTGGTTGGTGAGGGCACTAAACCAAGCTCCCCAACCCCCGTCTTCCGAGACAGTCCCGGGAGAAAATGGAGAGTCCTGTAGGGCTGATTTCTGTGTGTCCCCGGATGCCCACTTCAGAGAACATCAGCCCTCAGCCCAGTGCTGTGCCTGCACCAGGCCGTGCTCGGTAAAGCCCGGCAGGCACGCAGGGCACCGGGGTGTGAATCCTGGGCTCTGTTCTCTTCCCCGTGCAGGAGCCTTTGCTCTTGCTGGGAAGACTGGCTCTATGCTGAGCGGGTTGCTGTGGTGGGGCCTGTAGCACAAGCATCTACTAAAGGCTTTCCTCTTTTTATTCCTTCATCCGCCCCTCCCAGGGGGCCTCTAAACTGGTACCGGAACATGGAAAGGAACTGGCAGTGGGGCTGCAAAGGCTCGGGAAGGAGGGTGAGTTCAGCGCTGCTCCCCTCCCCAGCGAGTCACCCTTTGGGCGTCCGTGGGCCCAACTGATAGGCTGCTGGGTCAGGGCCAGGGGTGGACAGACCAGCCGGCTGCTTTTGGAGGTGCCTCCACTGCAGGGTTTCCTCTTAGGACCTCTTTTGCTGCTGCTTCTCCTGGAACGGCAGAGGGTGGGGAGAGGGTGGGGACAGGGGTCTGCCAGGTGACTGCAGCAGCCGTCTGGACCACCTAGGTCTCCCGGCGGTGCCCTGGCTCAGGCCGCAGGTGGTCCAGTTAACTCCCAGAGGTAACAAGGATGAAGCTCCTGGCTCACAGAGGAACGTTACGTGCTCTCAGAGAGACGGGGCTTTAACCTCTGGCTGCTTCACCTCGACCGGGTCAGTCCGAGTCTCAGTTTCCTTGTTTGTCAAGCAGAAGACAGGTTTCCAACCCCTGGGTCTGCAAAGGGAGTAATGGGGTCCCTGGTTTACATTCAAAACATTAAAAACCTAAGGGAAATTGCATTTTCACGTTCCTCAGCTCACTCGGTAGCCCTGGCCATCTTCTTGATTCAGTCAAAAATGAACGGCCCTCTATATGCCAGGAATGGTGCAGATAACACGGGCGAGGTCCTGACCTCACGGGGTTAGGTCTTGAGGCAGTAGAGCATAAAAACAGTGGTTCAGAGCAGGCTGGGCAGAGAGTCGGCCTGGGATGTGTGACCTGTGCCCTGTGTGACAAGGCACTTAACCACTCTGTTCTCCGTGGCCGCTAATATGGAAGTGACAAGAATGGTGCCTACCTCAGGCAGGAGCTGTGTAAGGATAAAGTGGGTTGACGCACATCAAATGCTGAGTTAGAACAGTGCCTAGTACGTAGTAGTGGTTTAATTAATGCTCTTTAGCCTATCATCACTCTAATCTGTGATGGACAAAAATGACAAAACTGCAGTTTGATTGGCAGACTCTCTCAAAGCATGAGGGACGAGGATGAGGTCTTCGGGGAGGTGAACCCCGATGGCAGTAGGTTTGGGGACCCCCTCTTCTGCAGTTCCCTTCCAGATCTTCCTCATCTCCCACCTCCTCCCATTGCCTCCGCCACCGCTTTACGTTTTCACCTGGAACATTCTAGAGTGTCCGTCCCACCCCCACAGCAGCCTCAGGATTCATTTCAGCCACAAAACCACCACTGGGTCTTCACCCCTTGGTGAACGGGGCACGGTGAGAGGCGCACAGTTCTGTGTTGTAGGTAAAAAATGGTGCGCATTCCTTACCCAGGGACAGTGAACGCCATTTGGAAATTGTCATGGTAGCTTGAGAACACAGAGTAAAAGGAGGTTCTCTCGACCTTGCGGTGCCCCATGTATCAGTAGACAAAAAGTGAAGTCCCTTTGCTGCCTGTAATGTCACACTGGCCCCAGCGTGGCTGGCCCAGTCACACTCTGGCTCCCTGGGTGAAGCGTCCGTTCAATTCATAGAAAAGGAATATTGATCTCCATCTAAGGGCATCTTTCCTCCTTCCCAGTGCCATCTGTTTGGTGTCAGACACACACACACACACACACACACACACACACACACACACACACAACCTGTGTGGTCAATACGTGGCTGAATCCATCCGTATGAGAAAAACCCATTTTTTTCCTCCTGTGTGTCTCCTTTACTTTCACACAAATCGCTTTCTTTCTGACACTTCTTATCACCAAATGTGTGGAGGTTTTTCCACACACCACCAAGCAGTTCTCTGCAACACCAGCTGGGTGGCCTACAATTTAACTGAGTTCTGGCACCATCTACCTGGAGACGGTGTCAGAGCCCACAGGTTAAGGGCTCAGTCCCACAAGACTACTCCCCACTGCAGACGCCAACCCCAAGTCCAGGTTGTTACCTGTGCTTCCAACTGATTGGCTATAAATTGGAGGCTCCCAGGGCCTCCTCCTTGGGTCTGTTCATTTTCTACAGTGGCTCACAGAACTCTGGGAAACACTTACTTACATTTACTAGTTTATTAAAGGATTTGATAAAGGACACAGATGAACCGCCAGATGAAGGAATCCACAGGGTGAGGTCTGGGAGGGTCCCAAGCCCAGGAGCCTCTGTCCCTGTGGAACTGAGGTGTGTTATCCTTTTGGTGTGGATTTCACCAACCTAGAAGCTCTCCGAACTCCTTGCTACTGGGATTGTGTGGATGTTTATGGAGACTTCCTCACGTAGATGGCGATCAATTATTAACTCCATTTCCAGCCCCTCATCCCTTTCACCTTCCAGACGTGGGGGAGAAGGTAGCTGAAAATCCCAAGTGTCTAATCATGGCTTTGTCTTCCTGGTGACCAGCCCCCATCCAGGAGCCCAGCCAGAGTCACCTCACTGGAACAGAAGTGCTCTTATCACTTAGGAATTTACAAGGGTTTCAGGGGCTCTATGCCGGGAACCAGGGGCAGAGAGCAAGATACACATTTTCTAATCTCGCACACCATCCTTTCAGATCTTTAGTAATACTGGTGCCTCCTTCACTCAAAGCACGTGGCGGAAACAAAGCCAGACCACAGTGGTGCTGTGAGGGGTCTTCTGCGGGGGAGTTAATAGTGGGGGAGGCCCTGCAGTGTGAAAATAACATCTCCTCGCCCCGGGGAGGGAGGGCCTGAGCGTGGAGTCTGCTTCTCCTTCCCGTTATCCCTCCCCAGATCCTGATGCCGGCCCTGATGGTCACCGCAGAGAAGGACTTCGTGCTCGTTCCTGAGATGTCCAAGCATATGGAGGACTGGGTAAGGCAATGGTCCTGCTCGGGGCCATTGGGGCTTCTTGGAGGAGGGCGCAGGCGTCCCAGAGGATGAAGAGTGGGATGTTCAGGGGAACCGCTCGCTTGACGAGGGCTTCCTTAGCAGCATCACTCTCGCCTTTTGGGAGCAGCGATTAAGACTGCTCCTCGGGGGCTTCCCTGGTGGCGCAGTGGTTGAGAGTCCGCCGGCTGATGCGGGGGACGCGGGTTTGTGCCCCGGTCCGGGAAGATCCCACATGCCGCGGAGCGGCTGGGCCCGTGAGCCATGGCCGCTGAGGCTGCGCATCCGCAGCCTGTGCTCCGCAACAGGAGAGGCCCGCGGACTGCCAAAAAAAAAAAAAAAAAAAGACTGCTCCTTCCTGGACTTCCCTGGTGGTCCAGTGGTTAAGACTCCACACTTCAGGGAACTAAGATCCCACATGCCACGTGGTGTGGCCAAAAGAAAAAAGAAAAAAAAAGACTGCTGCTTCCTTTCCCCTTCACTGATGCAATCTCTCATCACTCACTCATTCTTTCATTTCATGGGCTTTTCCTGTGCACTTAGATGAGTTGGGACAGTGCTAGATACCAGGGAGGTAAAGATGAATGAGGTGCAGACCCCACCCCACAGGAGGTCATGTCCAGCAGTTCACCCCATATGCAGGAGGCTTGTGTGGACAAGGGCACAGCTGGGAGCGAGGGCTTCACAGAGGTGCTGACCACTGCCTCTGGCCTTGAGGAACTCCTAAGCCTTGCCCGGCAGAGAGAGAACGGGAGAGGAGACAGGGTGTTGAGAGGTGAGGATGGATGAGAGAGGTCAGAGGGTGCGGCTGGGAGGTTATCCTGAGCCCACTGGGCCAGGCTGAGCTGTGTGGACCTGTGGGTGAGGGGACCGTTAAAGTGGAGAGATGGGTATCAAACCTGTGTTTTGGAATCACAGTCTGCAGAAAGTGTGGAGCTTGGTAGGGATTGGGAGACCTGCAAGTGGGGTCACTGTGACTGCTCGTGTATCCTGGCTGGATGCTGAGAGCGTTCGCCTGCACTTGGCAGTGGCTTTGTTGGCATCATCCAGTGCGGTGGAGAGAGCGTGTTTCAAGGCACGTTGCCAAGGACGCCCTTTGTGGGTGGTGGAGCCAGTCAAGGGAGGGCTGTGACCCACTTTGGGGATTCAGGTGCCAAAAGGGAAACTGAAGAGCCCTGCGTGCAGATCACCAGGGAGGAGGGAGGCGACATGGGAAGGGGACACAGTCATGGCTACAGGGCAAGAGCCAAGCTCGACCCGGCATTTTCCAGGCAGTGAACGGGCCAAGTCTTAATGGTTCTGGAGGGAGACAGTCTGTTGTGATGAGTATGGGTCAGCCTGAATTTGAATCTTAGCACAGCCACTCTCTGTGTGGCCTTGGGCCAGTTACCTAACCTCTCTGAGCCTTCATATTACCCAAAGGATCATGGTCAAAGATAAATAAGGCAGGGCTTCCCTGGTGGCGCAGTGGTTAAGAATCCGCCTGCCAATGCAGGGGACATGGGTTCGAGCCCTGGTCCAGGAAGACTCCACATGCTGCAGAGCAACTAAGCCTGTGCACCACAACTACTGAGCCTGCGCTCTAGAGCCCGCGTGCCAGAACGACTGACGCGCACGTGCCTAGAACCCGTGCTCCGCAACAAGAGAAGCCACCGCAATAAGAAGCCCGCGCACTGCAACAAAGAGTAGTCCCTGCTCGCCACAACTAGAGAAAGCCCGCACGCAGCAACGAAGACCCAATGCAGCCAAAAATAAATAAATAAAATAAATAAATGTATATAATAAAAAGATAAATAAGGCAGTGCATGTGGAGCACCTAGCACATAGTAGGAGCTTGATCAGTGGTCATTCCTTTCCTAAATCACACGGGGTTTTCAGGGGGGCGGCCCACCGGGAGCAGAGAACTTGCCTTCTGCCATTTACTTTTTCGGGTGGGGTTTTCTTCCAGATCCCCCACCTGAAAAGGGGTCACATTAAGGATTGTGGACACTGGACACAGATGGAGAAGTAAGGAGATGGGGGTCCCTGGGTGGGGGACGTCAGGGCTCCCTGTTCGCCTCCAATAAGCCGCTTACTTTACCACCTCTGCCTTCGCCTGCGTGAGGGAGTGCGTCCAGACAGATGCGAATTGCCTTCTGTTCCCTTTCCAGGCCCACAGAGTTGAATCAGATCCTCATTGAGTGGCTGGAGACTGACGCCAGTGACCCACGGGAGGTCTCGAAGCTTTAGGGTGTGACCTGTGTCAGCCGCCAGCAGGCAGTCCAACCGCTTCATCTGCTGGGGGCGCTTCTCTGGTACCCGGATGGGGCCTTACCCGCATCTCTCAAAACCAGCAGCGTTGTTCTGAAGGGGTTTGCAGCAAAGAGTGATTTTCTCTAAATGAAATGAGTCAGATTTGACCTAATTTTAGATATAGGAAAAATCACGTGTGATTAATCCTCTGGGTATAAACGTATCACTTTATGTCTAAGGATGGTTAGTGTTCTGTGGGGGACAGAACGGGATGGCCAGGGGGTGATTTCTCTTTGATAATCAAGTCAGCGTTTTGATGATGCAAAATCAGCAATTTAGAAGCTTTTCAGCAGAGATGGGAACTCCTTTATTCAATAAAATGAAGACAACTGGCTTAGTGCTGTTTGTGTTCTTGGGAGGAAAGCAGAGTGATTGTTCTAAGAAAGTATCGCGTTTGGGTGAACACTGTTTCCTCTGCTCTGACTCTCTACGAGTCTCTGCATGATCTGGAGCAGTGCTGTCTGGTAGAACTTTCTTTTTTTATTAATTTATTTTATTGAAGTGTAGTTGATTTACAATGTCGTGTTAATTTCTGCTGTAGAGCAAAGTGATTCAGGTACATATGTGTATCCATTCTTTTTCATATTCTTTTCCGTGATGGTTCATCACAGGATATTGAATATAGTTCTCTGTGCTATACAGTAAGACTTTGTTGTTTATACATTCTATATGTGGTAGTTCGCATCTGCTAATCCCAAACTACTAATCCATCCCTCCCCCACCCCCCTCCCCCTTGGCAACCACAAGTCTGTTCTCTATGTCTGCGAGTCTGTTTCTGTTTTGTAAATAAGTTCATTTGCATCATATTTCAGGTTCCACATGTAAGTGATATCATATGATATTTGTCTTTCTCTGACTTCACTTAGTATGACAACGTCTAGGTCCATCCATGTTGCTGCAAATGGCAGTATTTCATTCTTTTTTATGGCTAATATTCCACATCTTCGTTACCCATTCATCTGTTGATGGACACTTAGGTTGTTTCCATGTCTTGGCTATTGTAAATAGTGCTGTTATGAAAATAGGGGTGCATGTATCTTTTCAAACTACAGTTTTCTCCAGATATATGCCCAGAAGTGGGATAACAGGTTCAGATGGCAACTCTATTTTTAGCTTTTGGGGGAACCTCCATACTGTTTTCATAGTGGCTACACCAACTTATATTCCCGTGGAACTTTCTGACGCGATTGAAATGGTCGGTTCTGTGCTACCAGATAGAGTGGCCACCAGCCACGTGTAGCCATGTGCCCTGTCTCCCTGCTCTGTTGGCATGGTGTGCTCAGCAATCTATGTTCACGTCCCTCGCTGCTCTTTCTGCAGGGCAAGCTTGTGGACGAGGTGGTGTCTCCAGGCTGAATTCTGAATTAGGATGAATGTAAATTAACCAGGCAGAAAAGGGTATGTATGTCCAGGTGTGTGCAGAAAGCAAGGGGCAGATTAGAAATGTTAACAGCGATCATTCTTAAATACCCCTGTGTGCCTGGAGCCCTACACTGACCAACTCTTATCCTTCCCATTTAACAGATGGGAAAACTGAGGTTCAGATAATTTGCCCAAGGTCACTTGGCTAGTGCGGGGCAGAGCCTAGATTCAGATGCATGCTGTCTGGTTCTGCAGGCTGAGCTCCTTCTACCAAAGGCTCTTTTCTTTTCTAAATCTGGGGTGAGACTACCCAGATCAGATCCCTGCTCGGCCACCGACCACAGAGTGACCTCGAGAAAGAGGTCACTGTGCTTCAGGTTCCTCTATTAGAAAAGGACATTAATAGCACCAAACTCATAGGTGGTCGTGAGTATTAAATGAGTGAATACGTACAGGGCCCTAGAACGGTGCCTGGCACGGAGTATTAAATGAGTGAATACGTACAGGGCCCTAGAACGGTGCCTTCCAGCCAGCCCACCACCACCTCCTCCCTTCTGGATCAGAGAATTAAAGGACTCATTTAAAAAGCAAATGTGTGCTCTGGGGGAATGACTACGGAAGCCGGCTAACATTATTTCACTAACTGCGTGTGTCCAGGCTTATTTGTCCAGAATTGGTTGGAGGAAACAAGAATCTTAGAACATCTCTCATCTAAAGAAGCACAAGTAGGCAAACCTATTCGGCCTGTCTCCATTTCCAGAATTCTACCCAGTAATCTCTGTAAACCATTCAAAATGCTCAGAAATTCTACTCTTTCGGCAAATAAGGGCCGGACGAAACTAGTTCGTAGCATTGCAACACAAATATCACCAGTCATACAAGATTGAGGGTCATAAAAAAAAACGCTCCATTGGAAAAGGTCTTTAGGTCATTCCCGAAAATACTTTTCAGATGCCTTGTTAACTACAAGTTGTTTGAGGTATGTTCAAATTGATTTGATTTAAAAATGTTATTTTTATTTCAGACTACAAAGGGCCTAGATAACAAGTGTATTTACCTCTGCAGAGGAAAATAGCTTTTTAAAAGAGGCATGGAAGACCCCACCCACATATCAGTGAGATCATAGAGCTCCCTCCAGGGAGCTGAGATCACTCACAGGTTCTGTCCTCACACTCGGTGGCTGTCAACTAGCAGGGTCCAAGGTTTCCAGGAGAAATATCTTCTAAAAATGCATCTAGTTAGAGCATGCGACAAAAAGCTATTCCTGTCTCTCTTGGGGTATAATGAACCCATGGTTTTCGGCCTGGAAGTGACTCTAAGGCCCACTGTTCACACTGACATTACCATGAGCACAAATTAAAACTAAACGATGGTTAAAATACGTAGGTCAGAAGCTCAAAGGTTTTGGCAACAAGAATTGGGTGGGAAACGTCATGCCTCGCAGTTCAAAGGAATCCATCTGGCCACAAATAAAAGACTTTCTTGGCAGTTGTGGAAGTTTCTCCCCAGTGTTGGCCGCTGCACCCAATTGTTAATTGTTTCTTCTGCCAGACTGTCAGGTTCTTGGGATTGGAGCCTGCCTGTCTAGGTGATTCATCCTTGACCCTAGCCCAGCGCATGCCTGGTGTTTTGAATGGGTAAATGCGTTAGTTTCAGATGCTTGATTTTTGCTCTCCTGCTTCATGAGATGGATGACCAGTTGCCTGAGTATCTTCACCGTCCCAGGCCTTGGTAGATCTCTTACTGTTGGCATGTGTGCCGATAGCACTAAATTCGGGAGAAGACATCCAGATTCTAGACATCTACACATCTTCCCTAGGATCCGTTGGATAAACCACGAGGGTATGTCACTGAGCTTCTGCTTCATGAGACAAATGCGATAATTATTTTAATAACACAGTTGAAGATACTGTAGGTTTTTACAGCTTTCATATTAATAAGGTATGGGTAGTCATTCTGGCAGTTTACCTAAATACATTTTGTCTTATTTCCGTACATATTTCCTGGATTTGGAGGCTGGCACCTGCTTTAGAAAGAATACCAGTGATACCCCTATTCCTGTAAATTCACTTTTTTTAAATTGTGGTCAAACTTGCGTAACATAAAATTTACCATTTTTCAGTGCACAGCTCAGTGGCATTAAGTACATTCACATTGCTGTGTAGCCATCACCACCGTCCACCTCCACAACCTTTTCATCTTCCCAAGCAACCCTGTCCCCATTAAACGCTAGCTCTCTTTTCTCCATCCCCCAGTTCCTGGAAACCCCCATTCTAGTTTCCGTCTCTGTAAATTTGGCTCTTCTAGCTGCTTCATATCAGTGGATTCATAGCGTATTTGTCTTTTTGTAACTGGCTTATTTCACTTAGTATAAGATCCTGTCAGGGAGGAAGAAAACTTTCCTCTACCCTTCTGTGTTCTTCTGGCTGGTCTAAGAATTAAATTGACATGAGATAGATTAACAGGAAAGATCAAATTTAATTTTGCACATAACGGGAACCCTACATACGTGAGAGGGTCAGAGAGAGAAAGGTAAAGTGAGGTATATATGCCACCCTGAGCTAAGGAATGGGATAGGAGCCTGGGGCTTCCAAGGACAGGAGGGTCATTCACAGGATGATAAAAGGAAGAGCAGATGCTGGATACTTAGGTATTCGCCCTGCCATATACATGGTGCCACTCAGACAAAACTTATCTCCGGTAATAACTCTTTTCTGGGAAAAATCCCCAATTTAAATTCTAAATTTAAATTTAAATTTAAATTTAAATTAAAATCTAAATTTAAGTTTAAATTTAAATTTAAATAGGTAGTTGAGGAAGGAGCAGTAGTTTCTCTTGAACCCACAGGGGCTCTATTGCCTTTAGCTCCTCGTGCAAAAGTAACACACTCTGGGGAGGCTCGTTCTGAGCCCCTGAAATCCTCAAGGCTCGTCCATGTTGTGGCCTGTGTCAGAATTTCCTTCCTTTTTAAGGCTGAATAATATTTCGTTGTATGTATATTCCACATTTTGTTGATCCAATCATACATCAGTTGACACTTGGGTGTACAAGTATCTCTTAAAGCCCCTGCTTACAGTTCTGTGTATGTACCCAGAGGTGGGATCGCTGGATCTACGGTAATTCTCTCCACGGTAGTGTTTTCCACACCGACTGAAGCATTTTACACTCCCATCAGCAATGCAGAGGGTTTCAATTTCTCCACATCATCACTGTCACTCGTTGTTTTCTGAGTTTTGGGTAATAGCCATCCTAATGGGTTTGAAGTGGCATCTCTTTGTGGTTTGGTTTTGCATTTCCCTGGTACTAAGTGATGAGCATCTTTTCATGTGCTATATTCACATCTGTATATCTTCTTTGGAGAAATGTGCATTCTTTGCCCATTTTTAAATCAGGGTTGGGTTTTGGTTGTTGTAGGAGTTCTTTATATACTCTGGATATTAATCCATTATATGATTTGCGAAGATTTTCTCCCATTCTGCAGGTCATAAACTCACTTTTTAATCAAGTAGAAATTTACTTCCAGTTTTAAAAGGACCTGGGTTAGGACCTAACCTCTGTTGTGTATGTAGTTCCTTACTGTTTTCCATAAAGTTGCTGCCAAGATGTATGGGCAGAACGCCTCAGCACTGGGGAGCTTGTGTGACTATTTGGCTTGTATCAGAATTTGGAAGACAAAAACAATTCTTTGTTTATGCAAATCAAGGTAAGAAAAATCCAGAGAAAGCCCCAAACAGTGGTCTTTGTTGCCATTGGAATAGATTGAGGAGATGTATTATTTGGTCAGTGTCTCCATCAGTTATCCTGGATTGAGATGGAAGGGAACCCTAAGAAGCAGGGGATGCTTTAAACCTTGCCATCCAGCTTTGTCATTTGTTGAATGAACTTTATGCCTTACAGCAGCCTTTTTTTT